ATAATCCGCAATATCAAAGTGTATCGTTTATTATGCAGGTTAACACGACATAATAAAATACGAATAACCTATTTATAACACCACGTGATACGAATAACCTGTAAGAATATTAAATCAAGTCAATTTCGAGTTCTCAAATTGACACGCGACACGATACAATTTTTTCCTATTAATTTTTGCCAACATGAACACAATATAAATTTGTAAACGGGTCGATCCAAACATAAATTTTTCACGTCTTATTTATGTCGTGTCAATGGATTATGTTGAAAATTTCCATCGATAGATAATCCAAATAATAGTTCTAAAGATATAACAACAAAAATCATGTAGGATAATCACTTTTGGGAGATCACATTAAAATCATAGTAAAACAATTAGCACATAGAAAATTTATGTTTTAATTTATTTTTTTTAAAAAACATATTTTATGAGTGATGTTGTCAGGAACGTTTAACAAAAGGAATATACAACTATTAAATATAGTATCTTAAATTTTCAATTGTATTCAACAACATATTATATTCATGAATATACAATTAGATATTAATAGTATAGTATAATTTTTTTTTTTACAAAAAAATAAAACGAATTATAAACTCTTGCATCAAAAAGTAGCTAAATGGCGGAGCAAAGATCAAAAGTATAAAATAAAGGTAAATCGTACAAATCACACTTAACTGGAATCACTTTTTACAACTAGGAAAAGTTTTAAAATCCCAATCTCATTTATAGGACACTGGCTGAATTAAATAGACTTTAGGAGAGATTGGGGAAAACAACACCTGAAATTATAGGGAGGCCTTAGGAGGAGTTTTATTCAATATAACATATGAAGAATGGCTACTCTGCCATCATTCCTAATATATACTTGTGCCTTGCTGGTCACCAATGTCTTTGTGGAGAGGTACTATCTTGCTATGCCAATAATTGAGAGAAAATGATGACATCTCTTATCTTATTGGTCTTTTTGGTTATTTGATTAATTTATAGGTAGAAAGTGCCACAAAATGTTTAAGAATATGAACAAAGAGATATCAACATCATGATCCAATAGACTCTCAATCACGCAGGTTATAAATTATTCCATTTAAGATGGTGAAAGCTTTATTTTCACGGTTGCTTATAGCTAAAGGGGAGAAGGGTAATCTAGGTTTACCCGTATCACCCATATCTAGGAGAGATTTTGGAATGGGCCAAAACAATAATAATAAAATGTACTAAAAGTTGGATACAAGAAAATAATTGGGATTTGCAAACTAGGACAATTATCATCTTTAGCAAGGAATGGGAGAGACAATCTTAAATGGTTTCCAACTCGTAAATGTGCTTGTGTTTTTATTCCTTTATTTTATTTACATTATCAACTTCTTCTTTTTTTATTCTCGTACTTTTTGCTTTGTTATAATGACGCAAGATCACGCATCAACATCAGTATCTTTTTCATTTTGGGCCATTAAGAATCAATTAATTAGACTTTGATAGGGGAATAATGGCCCCTTTTTCCTTTGTGTTTTATGTTAAAAATTTTCTCTTTAAATCTACGAGAATCAAGGTTATTTATCTTCTTAATTTAATTTTCCTTGGAATAAGTTGTTTCAAATGAATGCTTCTGTTATGCCATTTGTCCCGAATGACTTGATTACTTTTCTGCCTAAGATTAAGAACAACTATTTGTGCCATTTGTCGTATCAAAATTGAAATATTTCTCCAAATTTGGGATAAGTCTCATGATCTAACTTTTTTTTCTTCTTAATAATAAAAAATTTAATAAGGAGAGAACAAGTTGTCTCATTTGTCAAAGAAATACACAAAGTCTCAATAATGAAGAATCTATGACCTATCGATGATAGTTCATCTTAATAGATCGAACCCATAACCTTTTTTTTGTTGATGCTGTTTGATTGTATTGATTAAGGTAACTCTTTTTGGTTGTCTTGATAATTTATCTTAAAGAAAATACAATTATGCATATGCGTTTTCTTTTTTCCAAATTTGTAGTAAGATTTCATTTTTCTTGTCTTCATTGTCTGCATCATTTGAGGCTGCCATATATGTATTACCAACGTACTGTTTAAGCACCTTGCATGTGAGTTTTTGTAGTGTCTGGACCACTTGAGCTTAATTAGAGCAATAAAGTTGAGATCAAAATCCATAAGTTTAATTTCTTCTAAAAACATACAAAAATAACTTTTGTATGTTTTTGATACATTTTAATTAGCTAACAACTGATGACATTGACTATAATTTTTACGGAGATGTGTTTGAATTCATTTGTTCGGTCCTTATTAGTCATTACATTTCCTTCTTTAAATTACTCCAAACATGTGAGATATCCTATGTAATGAAAAGAAAAGAAAAATACAAACTAGGCTATGCCTACAAAAAAAAAATGCATCTATTTCAATAGATGATATTGTTTTAATTCCTCAAAATCGTCTTGCGGTATAACTCATAATTTATTTACCTGCAATTGATTAAGAAAGTTAATTAACCTCATGGTTACTGTGATTGGTACCCCAAGACCAAGAGTCTCTTTTATTTTTCTAGGGATGATGGATATTCACAATCAGTGTTTTTCAATTCATAGTCCATGTTTTAAACCATATTGGTGAATCCATATTATGCATTTTGGGCTCAGGACTGACAAATGGTAATGGGCCCATTGAAGGGGTCTATATGAGAAGTGACACCCATGGTCTATATGATAATGATGGAACATTTTACATGATGGTATTACTAATTAGTAATTTCGCTTTAGTAACTCAACTTTTAAACAATGATATAAAAAGATGGGTAAGATATGTGTCATTTTAAAGGATGTAAAGTTATCTCATTTTAAGAGAGAGAAAGAGATAGATAAAGGAGGAGAGAGAGTTGACAAAAAAAATAAAGATGTGAGTCTCACCTCTTTGTGAGATGAAATGATATAAGCTGTGTCATTTAAAAAGATAAACATTTTCCCTAAAAAAATTAATATGAAATAATAATATCCAAGAGTTGTTGGTTTAGTGGTGAGCAGCTAAATCGCAAGATTTGACATGTTCACAAAATAGTGGATGAAGAGGCACAAACATAATAGTCGAATACATTAAGACTTGGGATACCCATTTGGTATAAATAAAAATTATGAAATAATAAGTTTCCAACAATTAAAGTATTAATTAATTGCAACTACAATAGAATATGAAGTCTACAAAGTGTGTAAATAATATTGTTTAAATTAAATTGAGTAAGCCAAAATAGACAGCTATTGTTGGGTCATGGCTTCATTTTGCGCAAATCCACCGAGTGAACCAAAAGACACAGAACAGTTGCTGCCCACCACCAAAATGTGCTTGCACATGCAACTGGCTGCAATTTTATGTGTATATACAATTAAATTATCTAAACTAGCACGTGCTTCATCAAAGTCTAAGGAGATAAATGCCTTTCTTTTTCAATTATTTATAGGTTATAATTAACCCCCCAAAAAAATAGAGATAGATTATTATATTTATATTTTTTTCCATACTTACTTTATCTATCATTCTCTAACACCATTAGATTAGAATCTTAAGAGAAAAAAAATAATAAATATTAATTAAGATTTTAATGTTGAAAATAATAGGAAAAATAGACATTAAAAAAAATAGAATAATATATATCCAAAAAAATATATACCTCATCGAAATATAAAAGAACACAATCTTTCAAATTTCATCTGTCGTTACAGTTATGCTGCTTGAGAGAAGGTATTTAGTGGGCCTGGACTATAGTGATCATTTTTCAAAATAGAAAAAAAGGACGGAGAGAAAAAAATCAAAAAGAAAGAGGTAAAAATAGAAAAAAAAATTCTATTTATAAAAAAAAATCACTGAATAAGTGGTGGGCCGGCTGCTCGGGGGTGAGGCTGCTATTCCAAGAGCAATATATAACATAAAAGCAAAGCCAAAGGCCAAATATGGTTCAGTCAAGAAAGGCGCCAGTCCTCGAGTCTTGACCACAAACATCGGGCAACTCAAATCTTTGAACATCTTGAGTCTTGTAGCTAATATTAAATTTTAAACTTCACATTATTCCATTGCACTTAATTCCTAAAATTCTATATAAAATACCATCAAATATGTGAATTAATTTCTAAAAAATTATTTAAGCTTATTCAGTAACCTTATATTCGAATCCATGCACCTATATTAGGACTTAGTAGGAGTAGTTTTGATACGTATATAATTCTACCGACTTGAATTAAACCAATTCAGTAATGGATGAATTAATAGATAATATTCAAAAACAATTCTAAACAAAATAAAAAACAACATTTCATAAAGTTTTTTTTTTAAGAAAAAAAAAAATCTTATCCAAAACAGACATAAATGCTAAGATGTTCAAACTAATCAACTAGGTATTAAAATAGCATTCATAATAATGCACGGAGTTGTACTCCAACACGGGAATTTTCACAGTTGGCATCTTTGTTAGGAAGAGTGACCAAAATGCCACGCTTTGGCAAAAAAATTACCAGAATGCCACGCGAACAGTAAAATTTCTCAAACTGCCACGCGACATAATTCGCTACACAGTGTAGCGAAATATGTCACGTCAGAACGCACAGAACCAAAAATGTCACATGTCGAATTTTGCAAAATTTGACATGTGGCATTTTTGATTCTGACGTGGCATATTTCGCTACACTGTGTAGCGAATTATGCTGCGTGGCATTTTGACAAAATTTATTGTTAGCGTAGCAGTCTGGTAATTTTTTTGTCCAAACGTGACAAAATGATCGCTCTCCCTCGTATACTTTTTTTATCACAGTTGGTATCTTTGTTATCAATATATACTTTTTTGCTGTACTGATCAGATCTCGATTCAAATCCAGATTATTATATTTCTACATAATATCTTAAGTTGACAACGTTGACCAAAAAAAAAATTATTGAAGTACCTTCTTACTTCTTATCATATATGTTATAAATAATAGGGGCAACCCACATAGCAGAACACATTCATCAATCACAATGGCTTCTCTGCCTCAACCCAAAACACCCCTTCTTACTTCATTGTTGTTCTCATTCTTCACCATAATGGCTCATGCCATTGTTCCTCAAAACCAAACCTTTAATTTTGTTAATTCAGGTGAACTTGGGCCCTTCATAGTGGAGTATGGTGCTGACTACAGAATGATAGCCATCTTCAACTCTCCTTTCCAAGTTGGTTTCTACAACACAACACCAAATGCCTTCACTCTGGCTTTGCGTGTGGGACTTCAACGCTCAGAGCAGCTTTTTCGTTGGGTGTGGGAAGCCAACAGAGGCAACCCAGTTGGAGAAAATGCCACCTTTTCATTAGGGACTAATGGGAACCTTGTGTTGGCTGATGCTAATGGTAGAATTGCTTGGCAAACCAACACTGCCAACAAGGGTGTTGTGGCCTTCAAGTTGCTTCCAAATGGTAACATGGTACTCATTGATTCCAAAGGTAAGTTCATTTGGCAAAGTTTTGACCACCCTACGGATACCCTCTTGGTGGGTCAGTACCTACGAGTTAAAGGGCCATCAGAGCTTGTAAGTAGGCTTTCAGAGAAGGAAAACACAAATGGGCCTTATAGCTTGGTTTTGGAACCTAAAGGGCTGGCCTTGTATTATAAGAGCATGAATTCTCCAAGGCCAATTCTCTATTGGTTTTCATCTGATTGGTTCTTCATTCAAGAAGGGTCCTTAGAAAATGTCACACTTTCATCTGATTCAGAAAGTTTTGAAATTGGATTTGATTACCATGTGGCCAATTCTTCCACTAGTGGCAATAGAATCATTGGTAAGCCAGTTAATAATAGCACACTAACATATCTTAGGCTTGGAATTGATGGTAACATTAGGTTTCACACTTACTTCCTTGACGTGCGTGATGGTGTTTGGAAAGTTAGCTACACTCTCTTTGACAGAGATTCTGATGAAAGTGAGTGCCAATTGCCAAGTAGATGTAGGAAGTTTGGGCTTTGTGAGAACAACCAATGTGTTGCTTGCCCATTGGAGAATGGGTTATTTGGTTGGAGCAACAATTGCATAGCTAAGCCTGTTAAATCATGCAAGGGAAGTGAGTTCCACTACTACAAACTTGAAGGAGTTGAGCATTACATGAGCAAATACACTGGAGGGGATAGATTAAGTGAAAGTAAATGTGGAAACAAATGTACCAATGACTGCAAGTGTGTGGGATATTTCTACCACAGGGATAACTCAAGGTGTTGGATAGCTTATGATCTGCAAACACTCACTAGAGTTGCAAATTCCACACATGTGGGTTTTATTAAGGTTCCTAATCAGAGTAATAAGAGAAGCCTTGGTGCTTGGTAAGATCTTGATATTGCTTTTCGTATGTAGTTCCTATTAGTAGGTTTTGGATTGTTATGAAGTTGTGGTTTGTCTATGTTCTCCATGTGGAGAAGGGCATGGATGTAAAATAAAGTAAGAAGTATGCAATGAATTTATAATTGTTTTGTCTTGAAAAATGGAACTCATATTCTTGTCTTCTTTCAGTTTCCTTTTCAAATTGATTAACTTGGTACGGCAGGGTTTAAATTATTTATTTTACAAGGCTAGTTATATTTACAAATTTTTTTGTTTATAAACTCTTATAAATTACTTTATGTTCTACACAATGTTCTTCCGAGAGAACATAGTGTAATTTGTAAAAAATTTCAAAAAAAATTTGTAAACAGATCATTTTTCTTATTTTATTATTTGTTCCTAGTAGGACAAATAGATTCTATTCGAATAATCTTTCATGGTTGAGCTTTATTATATGTGATTATATTGCTAGTGAGGAAAAAATATGTACACATAATAGTGTTGTGAAGTGTTTGGATGCCGTCGCCAGGACAGATAATTAAAATTTATAGGCTAAGTAGATTAAAAAAAATGAAATCGCTGTCAATTTATTTAAATTATAAAAACAATTATTTTTTAAATTGGTCTTAAAAAAATTAAAGTTAGGTTTGGGAGCGTAATTATGCATAGAAAACGGTAGAAATTTAATCTCATTGTATTCATGATACATTCATTTAAAGATAATTACCATAAATTAATTTGGCAAATTATCAATAAACTTTAAAATATTTAATTTATCTCTAAAAAAATAAAATAAAATAAAGGCATAAATAAAATAGATATACAAAATATTCCTAGAGATTCTAACCTTTAGGAAGTAAAAGGAAAAGATTACACAAATGCAATTTAATTTGATGAGTCGCCCAAGTTCGTAGAATTAGTCATATATGTGCGTGTGAAATATTAATTTATCAAGAAAGTGAAGAAAAGGGAAAGAGAAGAAGAGAAAAGAAATCGAAAGAATTCCATATATTTCACGCTATGCATTTGATACAGAGACAGTTGTTATATAGAAGCAATGACTCACCATAAGGGTAGTGTGACACCTGTAACAAAGAAGCTAACTAACTCTAACAGATTGACAGCTGTTACACCAGCTTGAACTAACTCAACTGACTGAGTGCCAGCTATACAAAGCTGAGGCTAACTACAAGAGACTAAGGGACTAACTACACTTCAAGCAAGTCTGATACATTATTGTTAATACACCCCCGCAAACTCAGGGTCTGAGATTGAGAGAAGCGAAATTCACAACCCTGAGTTTGGCACGAAGAGAGGCAAAGCGAGATGCTCCAAGCGGCTTGGTAAGGGTGTCAGCAATTTGATCAAGAGCTGGGACATGAAGAACAAGTAATTCTTTGGCAATAACCTTTTCCCTGACAAAGAAAATATCAAGCTCCATATGTTTTGTACGGGCATGGAGAACTGGATTGCGAGACAAGGCTACTGTACTGAGATTGTCACAGTAGATGAGAGGAGTGTTGAACTGGACATGCAGCTCGGCAAGTAAGGACTTCAACCAGAGGATCTCAGCTGTGACAAGAGCAAGGCTTCTGTATTCTGCCTCAGTACTGGAGCGGGCTACAACAGATTGTTTCTTGGACCACCATGACACAAGATTGGTTCCAAAGAAAACGCAAGCTCCTGATGTAGATCGTCTGTCATCTGGATCCGTGGCCCAGTTAGCATCACAGAAGGCAGTGATTGAGAAGTGGCTGCTGGGATGACTTGGTTGCAGCAGTAAGCCATGCTCAATTGAACCTTTTAAGTAACGAAGAATTCGTTTGACAATGGTCCAATGCTCCTCTAGTGGTTGTGACATGAACTGACACACCTTATTGACAGAATAACTGATTTCTGGTCTTGTTAGTGTGGCATACTGCAGTGCTCCAACAATAGAGCGAAAATGAAAGGGATCAGAGTAGTAGTTGGACCCATTCTTTGAGAGCTTGCAACCAGAGGGCATGGGAGTGGAAATGCTCTTTGCCTCTGCCATATGAGCCTTAGAGAGTAAGTCTTTAATGTACTTAGCTTGGGACAGAAGTAAAGCACCAGAATCTGCCCTTTTAACTTCGATACCCAAGAAGTAGTCAAGACAACCAAGATCCTTGAGTGCAAACTGAGTGTTAAGTCGAGTAATGAGATTCTGAACAAGAGAAGGATCACTTCCTGTGATAATTATATCATCCACATAGATAAGCATGAACACACATTGACCACTTTTTCGATAGATGAATAAGGAAGGATCACATTTGCTGCCAATGAAGCCAAGCTGTAATAAGGCACCTTTCAATTTGTCAAACCAAGCACGTGGGGCTTGTTTGAGACCATAAAGGGCTTTCTTCAACCTGCAAACAAGAGATTTGTCAGCAGAGATAAAACCAGGGGGTTGTTGCATATAGACCTCCTCTTCAAGAATGCCATTGAGGAAGGCATTATTCACATCAAGCTGCCTTAGAGACCAGCCATATGATACAGTTATTGTAAGAACAGTGCGAATTGTGATAGGTTTAACCACTGGTGAGAAGGTTTCATTGTAATCAAATCCAGCTAATTGATGGAACCCTTTGGCAACAAGTCTTGCCTTATACTTGTTGATGCTTCCATCAGAATTCTCCTTGACCCGAAAGACCCACTTGCATCCTATGGCACTTCTATTTGAAGGAAGGGGAACCAAGGTCCAGGTCTCATTGGCTTGAAGAGCATCATATTCAGCCTGCATTGCTGAATGCCAGTGAGGAACAGCCAAGGCCGGTTGAACTGAGCTTGGTTCAAGAGAAGTGGATAAGGCATGTGGTTTTGGATGAACAGAGGTAGAAGGCAGTTGATAATGGTAGTCTTTGAGATAAGTTGGAGGATTAGAGTGACGAGTGGAGTGTCTGACAGGATCAGGTATGGTTGTTGATTGAACAATGTGTGGTTCTGTAAGGGAGGTAGCTAGTTGACTCAAATTGGAAGTTGCGATATCAGGTGAGGTAGCTGAACAAGGATCATGGACAGCTTGTGCTAGACTATGTGGTTCAGTAGGTGATTCATCTAGTTAACCAGAATTAGAGAGAGTGATATCAGGTGAGGTAGCTGGACAAAGGTTATGTGCAGCTTACACTGAACCAGAATCATGTGTAGCAGGTGTGAGCTGTGGTGCAGGAGCTGATGGACTGTGAGGGACAAGAGGAATAAAGTTGTGGACAAAGAAGTCAGAGACATCAGAAGAAGAAGAGTTATCAGATTTGAACAATGACAAATAGGGGAATTTGTTTTCATTGAACAAGACATCCTTAGATATAAATAACCTGCCATCAGAATTGAGACACTTGTACCCCTTGTGATTTGGTGAGTAACCAAGAAAAACACATTCACTAGACCTAAAATCAAGTTTGTGATGATTATAGGGTCGAAGAAAAGGAAAGCAGGCACAACCGAATACTTTGAGGAACTTATAGTCAGGAACAACTTTAAACAGTTTGGTAAATGGCACCTCAAAATTTAAAGATGCAGTAGGAAGACAGTTTATAAGATACACAGCTGAAAGGAAAGCATGATCCCAAAACTTTAAAGGCAGAGAAGCATGGGCAATGATGGTTAGACCTGTTTCAACAATATGGCGATGCTTTCTTTCAACCACACCATTTTGATGATGTGTGTGTGGGCAGGCTATTCTGTGAATGATTCCCAATTGATGAAGAAGTTGGGTAAAGGGGCGAAATTCACCCCCCCCCCCAATCTATTTGAATTGCTTTAATCGTGGTGCTGAATTGATTACAAATTAAGGTATTGAATTGTTTGAAAGTGGTGAGGGCTTCTGATTTAAGTTTCAGAGGGTAGATCCATGTGAATCTACTATGAGCATCAACAAATGACATATAGTAGGTGTATCCCATTGTGGATTTAATAGGAGCAGGACCCCATAGATAACTGTAAATGAGATCAAATGGTTTATTATACTTGGTTGTAGATAGAGAAGATGGTAATCTGTGAGCTTTTCCCAAGCAACAAGAGGAACAGAAAAATGACTCACTTTTATTAGGAATGGAAATATTACAAGATAGGAGGACATTTTTAAGTGCCTCACTATGGGGATGCCCCAAACGACAATGCCACAAATTGTACATGTAGTTGGATTCTACAGGTTTGCTATTTACAATCTCAGTATTACTACTACATTGAAAAGGTACAACAGTGGTACTAGAATCAGAAGACAAAGCTGAATTACAAGTGGGATTACAGATAGAAGTGACAGAAGACAACATTGAACTTGTTTGTCTTGAAGAATTGGGAAGTTGAACACCATTGAATTTGTACAGTCCATCAGTTCCTAATGCTCCTTTGAGTAGTATCTCATGAGATTCCTGTGATTTGACATAGCAAGAGAATTGATGAAACTCGAAGTAACAGTTGTTATCTTTTGCAAACTTGCTAACACTAACTAAGTTCTTGGTAATAGAAGGCACAAGAAGCAAATTGTGAAGAAAAAGATTTGTGTGTGGTTTAAAGGGAGATAGAAAATGAGAGGAACCAATAGCTCTAATCTCCAGACCTTGACCATTGCCAATGAAGATCTGATCAGCTCCTGACAGTTGAGAGCTCTAAGGCAGATTCTGAGGTTCAGCAGTAACATGATGTGATGCACCTGAGTCTGGGGTACCAATCTAGTACTTGTGGTTGTGATTGTGGAGTGGGCAAAATACCTCGTTGAGAAACTGCATTGTACTGTGGAGAAGAATTCTGAGCTGGAAGTGAGGTGAACATGACTTGTGGAGGTTGAGCATTGGTTGAAGGTCTCACATATTGAAAAGATCTCTGATAAGAGTTGGAATTGAAGTATTGAGGTATTTCTAGTTCAGGTAGAGTGGGAGTAAAACTATCATCAAATCGATGCCAGCAGCTTTGAACATTGTGTCCAAATTTGTAACACAGCTGACATTGGAGATTGCTGCGACCTCCTCTACCTCTACCACGATTGGTTC